TACCGGTTCGCCCAAACTGGTTGTGAAAAAATGCTACAGATTCGGGGGAAATGGTAGCTTCGACGATCAGCTGTGCGACAATTAGCTGTGCCGAGTGATTTCTAGCAAGTATAAATTGTGCGGCACAGCTGATTGTCGCACAGTTGATCGTCGGAACTACCGGTTCGCCCGGACCGGTAGTTAAAAAATGCTACCGGTTCAGGCGAACCGGTAGTTCCGACGATCAACTGTGCGACAATCAGCTGTGCCGCACAATTTATACTTGCTAGAAATCACTCGGCACAGCTAATTGTCGCACAGCTGATCGTCGAAGCTACCATTTCCCCCGAATCTGTAGCATTTTTTCACAACCAGTTTGGGCGAACCGGTAGCTCCGCGATCAGCTGTGCGACAATCACCTGTGCGTGATTTATGTTTGCTAGAAAACAGGAAAACCTACTTTCTAGTGAATCTAAATTGCGCAGCACAGCTGTTCCCCCTCCAACAGGTGATGTCTTGCCATGTCCATAGGGGGGTTTCGGGGGCCTTACCTGGTCAAGGCTCTGCGAGGATCCAGCTCCAGGGTAGTGCCGGAGACAGTCGACGCAGGCGCTTGCAGCGCGGAGAAGCGGTTCAGGCTAGTGGCACTTGGTCGTAAACAATCTGCAGAGGATGCGGAGAGAAGAGGGCCTGTCCTCAGAACAAAGCCCAACTCCTCGTCCGGCCCTAAGGAGGTTTTCCTTCAAGCAGCAGCTTCTTAGTGTCTGCTCCAGTGGTGGGTTCTGGATCCCGTAGCAACCGGTACGTGTGCTGCGTATGCATGCGCACGCCACCACCCAGCAACATCCAGCTGCTCGGCAGTGGTTGTGCAGGCACCGCACACTGTGCACAATTGGTTGGATGCGTTATAAACAGCTATAGAACGCGGATGGGCCAAATGAGCCACCGTACGGTATGGTGTCCGCTGCTCATGGCTACTACCAGTACGGCCGTACTAGGCCGTACCACCCAAAACCCACCACTGGTCCGCTCCCTGTTGCCCAGGGGACACAGCCAGCTATGGCACGTGCCATGTGTGCTTCCCTTACCGATCTCGCTGGCCTTGGCTCCACCGCTGCTGCCCTTTCCCCAGCTGCCCAACTGGGCTTTAGGCACAAGCTGGATCTTCTCATCTATACTGGGCTACAAAGGGACAGAGTGACAGATTAGGAAGCGCCCCAAGGATGGTCAGATCCCTTAGTCCCCCCACTCCCAGACAGCCCAGCCCAGCCTTGCAGTGCCAATCTTTCGCCTTTTCTCAGCTCAGAAGAGGGGGTGTTTGAGAGAGGAAGTCAAGGGCTCTCAACTGGACCTTGCAAGCCTTCCTTGGATTAGAAGGCTGGTTTAAGATGGGACTCTGTCAAATTCAAACTCAGCTCTTCCCCCCACATACCAAAGGTGTCCTTGGGACAATGCAGAAATGCTTTGTCAGTGCCCCTCCTCCCCAGGTTAGCTTTCTGACAACACCTAGATTCTGCTACAAGTCCCAGAAAGTGTTCTGACCCAGGCTTCCCAAGAACATGAAGCAAACTCCTTGTCCGGACAAAAACCCTCCTTTATTAATTGGCTGTGAATTCTAATCATTCACATCCAGCAAAATCTTTCAAGGGAGGATTTACAGTCACAGACTTTCTCTGGCTTGGAGAGCTGCCAGGCCGATATCTGCAAAACTTGGCTAGGAGTCTCGGAGAGTCATGAACCAATTAAGCGAACTAATGGTCTCCTGCAAAATCCACTTCCCTTTCACTCCTCTTTTATTTCCTCTGGGAGGAGCCATTCATCATCCACCTGTGGCCTTACTCCAAAGTCGACCCCTGTTCTTTAACTGTTCCCTTCGTCTGGCAACTCTGCGCATGCACACCCTGGGAACAGGCTCCAGCTGTTCT